ATAAAATGTGAGAAAAATATACTGCACTCTGTTCTGGACCCTTAAAAGCACTCTTTGCACTTCCGAGTGGCTTATGTAGTTATCAGAAGAGCCAAGTATTCATATACACTGGGATGAATGTTTTATGGGGATTAAGCATAAATGTTCTTTGATTATCTGGGTTTTAAATACCTGAGATATACAGATAGAGTTTAAAGAATATATTAAGACCTTGTCATCTTGACAAGTGTTATGTGCTTAAATGGCTTTTATAATCTGGTGCTTGGCTACAGAAGAGACATTCACAGGACTTGAGTTTTAAAAGAAATTTTGTTTGAAAATGTAAAAGCAAGCTATATCATGATGCGATTACACAAAGTTCTTCTCACACTCAATGGAAAGAGATACATACTCTCAATAGGTTTATTAGGTTTGTTAATTTTAACTTCCATTTCACTGTACTTTATATGTATTTAAGTAAGTAATGCACTTAGGAATTAAAGATACTGCACAGATATTAATTACTCTTATGAAATACTCTAACTGGTATGGGCTGAACCAAGAAAGTTGTTTTATTTTCACATGTACCAGGAAAGAGAGTTAATGTAACAGTACTGGCTGGTAATGACTACAGGTTATGCAGAATAATATTAGTATAAAACCTCCTTCATGGGCACGCGTTCACCTAGAGCCAATGAATCAAACACCATTTAACCAGGTGGTAGCACTCCAGACTCCAGAGAAGTTGCTAAATAAAAAAAAGGGGATTGTATTTTTTGGGGGGCAGTCAGAGACCTCAGTCAAGGCTGATAGGTATCCAGTGGGATAAAGTTCTGGATCACAAAGTTTATAAGCTCTAGTGGTGGTTTGCATCATGCTCTTCTTCCTTTACTTTCCCAGTATATGCAGACCAGTGTCACCATTATGTTAGCGTTAGAACTGTTCATTTCACTCTGATGTTGCATTTCCTGGTTTATGACTGGTTGATTGCCCAGTCTTAAGGCTGGTCTTTAGTTTTTTTTCCACTGGCATATATAACTTTTTAATTAGGCTGGAATTATCTCATATTTATCTGACCTTAATGTCCCAATGTGGTAACAAGTGGGTAAAACATTTCGTCTTGATTCTTTGGAAGATTCCAAGTTATTCCTATTGACTTCACTTAGGGCAGTTCTTGTTTCTAGGCTGCTGCTCAGAAAGGGTGGGAAGGGTGATTCTTTAGCACACCTGAGAAGGTTACTGACAACAAATAAATTATTCAGCATATTTCACTGTCCTTTCAGGATTTCTGAACTTTATTTGTATGGGCTTTGGGAAAACAACTATTTAATGAATGCTACACTATTTAATCATTCCATTATTTAATAAATGATGACTTGTTTGTACAATAAAGAAGCGAAACCCATTCTGTGATACAGGAGACTAATGGTAGCACAACTGGCTTTGTTCATTCTGTGACTCAGGAAGATCTTGTGTATCGTTCAGTATCTTTGATTTTGGACATATACGTGTCTAAGAGTATACACAAAGTTTTCTTTGTGCAGAGTACTTGTGATAAAAGATTTGCTTGTAGAAATATTTATAAGAATCAAATAGATGTGATTCTTGTAAAGCCTAAATTAATTGATGATTTTTAAATAAAGCTGTGTGAATGTACTTTTAATATTGTACATAGAAGTCCTGAGGAAGGCTCTGTGTTCTACTTTTATTAAAAGGCTTTTATCATGATTCATTGGTCTCTTAATAGATTCCATTTATACTTTGAGGGTTCTTTCATATTTCTTTATATATCTAAGGAAAATCAAAGTGGTTCTTATCCTCCTAACACATCAATTACAATCTAAATGTGTTGCTATACAGATATATTTCTCTCTACCTCTATCTCTGTCTTTCTGTCTGTCTGTCTCTCTCACACACATGCACGCACATGCATGGAATGGCTTAGGAAATCAGCTACTGCAAATATTTTATTTATTTCTTGAATTTCTTTCTTAAAGATCTTTTTTCCAAGCATTCTCAGCAGTCTTGATCACTGTTTTTGAATGACTGTCCTGCATTCTTACTAAATGGAAAAAAAGAACTAGGTAGTGTGTTTAAATTGAACAATAACATGTAGCTGGCACAAGTGAGAGTAGTTATTTCATCTAATAAAAGTACAGGAATATGTTGCTGATAATTCTGTCACAGGTAATAAGCTATACCTTTAGAAAATACCATTACAAGAAAAGTCAAAGACCAATGTATTGCACTACTTTATCTTTCTTACTGCTAAAATTAACTATATCTAAAGTTTCTAAATCTTTTTCTTATTGTGTCCTTGTTTCTTTTTTTTTTTTCCTTATTACCATTGGATGAATAAATCCCAATGAAATGATGAACAAAACCTTTGCCCAGGTTAAATCCAAAGTAAGGGCTTTTTCAGACTAGTATAAGTTTTGTAATAAAATTTCACTTGATGCAATTCAGCAATACATAAAATTCCTTTTTTCCTTTTGCCATCTTAGGTGTTTCCAAATTAAAACCAAAATGCTTCTCATCTATAAAGTTTGTCACATTCTAGTTGCTGGTTGTCCATTCGTTCACACATTTCCCTTTCTGTTTCTCACCGTTCGCTCAGTGATTAGCACCGTTAAATTCATTTGTTGGCGGTTCGAAATGCACATTTGTAAAATTAGACTGTGCGAAGGGTGAATGCTTAGCTGTTGAACTTGCTTCATCTGAGAAGCTTGGATATACTGAAAATTCAGGTAAAAAGCAGGAAGTACTGGTTTGAACAGAAACCTGACTGAATAGCCAATGGTTTGTTGTTGACTTAATGATACCACTGAATGAGAAAGTGGGTGTTTTTTCTTTTTTTTTCTTTTATCTTTTTCTTCTTTTTTGTTTTTTCTTCCCTTTTCTTCTTTTTCTTCGTTTCTTCTTCTTTTTCTTCTTTTTCTTCTTTTTCTTCGTTTCATATTTTTTCTTCTTTTTCTTCGTTCTTTCCTTCTCCTTTCTCTTTCCATCTCCTTTTTTACTCTAGGTACTTGAAGTTTTAACTGAGTTACTTAGACATCTGCTACAGGGCTGTAGAAGCTGGTGCATAAAAATAAAGTCAAGAAATTGGCAGGATATCTTTTCCGTGCACATTTCTGTTGTAGAGATTAATTACTATAATATATGAACATCATTCAAGTCAACAAAGGTTGAAAAACTGAAAGTTTTTGAGGTTAGCTCCAAACTAAATGCTTGGAGTTATATGTCACCAAAATCTGTGGTTTTTGTGTATACACACCTGTGGTTTTACTAATGTTTGCCCGAAAGTATTTCTATGCTGTAGATTGCAATACAGAACTAGAGATGCTGAAACTAGTCTGAAATGGGGGGAGCCTTGTGTTACTGTTGCTAGACATCTTCTAAACTAGGTTAAGTGTCTTTACACAGTTCACTGGTATATGATATACAGGTTACTGTTACTTTTCTCTAACTTTAAACTGAATTCTGAATTTGAA